GCTGCCTCCGTCCTCCTCGGGCTGGCTGTACACGTTGAACAGGATGGGCAAGAAATTTTTGGCAAAGCGACCCACTTCTGCCCGCTCCGCATCTAGGGAGAGGATGACAAAGGGGTACGGATCAGCATCTCCCCTCTCCAGGTCACCGCAGGGGACAGGGACCCACCACGAGAGCCTGCCTCCCCCGCAACCTGTCTCGCATCCTTTGTGGATGAGGGTGCGCAAGGCCTGGCACACGGTGGGGCGCAAGTCTGGGCGCTCGCTGATGGCCATGCCCAGGGTGGGGGCCAGCCCCTTGAAGGCCCCCAGCAGGTCCGTGGGGTGGGTGCAGAAGCCAGGCAGCAGAGTCCAAACCTGGAAGGCAAAGGGAGAGGTGGGAGGCCAGCACCCTTCACCCAAGTCACCGCAGATCCGCCACGGCAGGGCTCCCAGGCGCTCCTTGTTACCTGCCACTGCAGCGTGTCGTAGATCTTGGCCTCCACGCTTTTCCCAGCCTGGGTAAACTCCAGGGCTGCAGAACAGAAGGGGAGATGAGCAGAGCAGCAGAGTTGGCAAAGCCCCACTCCACCCCAGGGGAGGGAAGAGAGGTCCCACGGAGCACCCTAGGGCTCCCAGGGGCCCAGGACCGCACCCGCTGGGACCCCTGCCATGCCACCCTCCTCACCTCTGCTTTTCAGGGTGGCCGCCAAGGGCAAGAAGTAGCTGGTGAAGAAGCTGAGCCGCGCGCCCTGCACGTAGTCCCGCAGCACCGGCAGGAGCCAGCTGCGGGGGAAATCCAGCGTCTCCCTGGGGAGGGAAGGCATGGGTCAGGGGAGCGCAGGGCACTGCTGGCATCAGCCCCTGGGCACAGGGCACCTCCACCCAGCCCCAAAGCTGGAGACTGAACAGGAATGTAACAAACGGCTGCAAAATTGCCACCATCGCAGACAGACTGGCAGCTGTCATCTCCCAGTATGAGAACCGGGGGGGAAACGGAGAAAGTATGAGCCAAAGAAAGAAAAGGGATAGCACTCCGCTAAGGGTGTTGGAGGCACCGGTCATTTGCACTGGCTCATGGAGAAGTCAGAGAAGGTGCAGATGAGAAAGGGGCAAGAAGAAAATGGTTTCTCAGCTGGAGACCAGTGTCCTCCACTGCTGGGAGTGGGCGCAGGACCTGCTACCCCACAGCTGTACTCACTCCTTGCCATCGATCTCCAGGGGCACAGCTTCCAGCAGAACCTCGGGGCCCATGGCACTCACGGCAGCCCCCACCGCCTGGTCCACTTCAGCGGTGTAGGGGAAGTGTGGGGAGAGACGTAGGTCACACAGGGACCGGAGACACTGCAGGGACAGGGCAGGACAGGCACAGA